CACTTTTTATAGCAATACTCTGAATTTTTTTTTGTCTATAGATTTAACACAATCTTTAGGTTTAAATTGTTTGCTTCAATTTAAAAAGAAAAGTGCATACTAACTAGAACAACAAAATCTAAGGATCATCAAAGGAAATTATCACCTTGTTGGAGTGGCACAGCGGTTAGCACTGCTGCCTCACAGCGCTAGGGATGCGGGTTTGATTCCACCGTAGAGTGACTATTTATGTGGAGTTTGCACATTGTCCCCATGTCTGTATAGGTTATTCCTGGTACCCCAGTTTCCTCCCACAGTCCAAAGATGTGCAGATTAAGTGGACTGGCCGTGGGAAATGCAGGGTTACAGGGACAGGATTGAGGGGGAGGGGTCTGGTTGGGATGCTCTTCAGGAGCTTGGTGTGGACATAATGGGCCAAATGGCCTACTTCCACACTGTAGGGAAGCTATGTGCTTCTATACTATAAAGGCAGCCGGCTCATTATTTTAAAACTTGGTGACTGCCACACAAAGGCATTTTGGCACAGAAATAAACTTTTAGTAGTTCGACAAAACATCCATGATGATGGGTGAAGCTGTAATCCCATCAACTTTATTTTAAGGAAAAGATGTTTGAATATTCTTGAAGCAAACACAAACTTAGCAGGAAAATTTCTGAAACTGAAAGCTGTGGGAAAAGGCCAGCTTTGAAAATAACGGTCAAACATGCTGTTCCAAAGCCCACTATGAGCGAGCCCCATCATAAAGGAGCTTGATATTTTGAGCAATGAATGGCCTAGATCACACAGATAGTAGTGACTCCTGTGATATTGGACTTTTGTTGCAACACGATGTTTAGATAAAAAGACCCAGTAAGAAAAACGAAAAGTAACCTTCTGAGGAACTGACCTTAACATAACAGGCTGGTTACCTTGACATTGCTGCTGCTTGTATAAGAACTAGGAGGTAAATACAACACTGTACTAAACAATAACAAAAGTAGTAAACCTGAAGCCAAGTGGAAGGACAAAACAAAGTCACCACAGCAAGCTGAAATGTTCATAAGTATCATAGAATCCCTACAACGTAGAAGCAAGCCATTCGGCCCATCGAGTCCACATCGACCCTCCAAAAAGATCCTTCCCAGACCCATCCTGCTACCCTGTAACCCTGCATTTCCCCATGTCTAACTCAGCTAGCCTGCACATCCCTGGATACCATGGGCAATTTAGCATGGCTAATCCACCTAACCTGCACATCTTTGGACAGTGGGAGGAAACCAGAGCAACCAGAGGAAACAGGGAGAACATGCAAACTCGACACAGACAGTCGCCCAAGGCTGGAATTGAACTCATGACCTTGGCATTACAAGGCAGCAGTGCTAACCACTGATCCGCCATGCCCCCCCCCAAAATGTTAACTCTAGTCGATCAACATTCAACGTGGTAGCTTCAGCAAAGACCCAACATTTTATATCAGTCATTTCAACAAGGACCCAAAATTAATGCCAGTCAACAACAAATTGCATTTAAACAGTGCTTTTAACATAGTAGACCAAGCAGAAGCACCTGAGGAGCAATTGTGGAGCAAATTTTGACAGCAAATCACCCAAGGAAAATTTTCAGGAAGAGCGAAATCTTGATCAAAGAGACAGTTTTGTGATGCATGTTAAAGGCAAGAGAGGGGCAAGGAGGCTTAGGAACAGAATTTTAGAACTTAAGGCCAGTGCAGCCAAAAATGGCTACCAATGATCAAGCAATTAAAATCAGAGCTGAAGGGGCCTGAACTAAAGGAAGGTACATATCTTGGATGTGGAGCTGGAGAAGTTACAGAGTTGGGAGGAGTAAGCTCATTGAGAGATTTGAAATAAAAAGGAGAACGTTAAAATCAAAAAACATTGACTTACATTTGTTTCTGGTTAAACAATGAACTCAGGGGTTTTGGGTGAATAGGACTTGATGCCAGTTGGTACATGGTCAGAGTTTTGGATGACCCTATGTTTACAAGGGGTAGATCATTGATCAAGGAGGGAAGCCAACCAGTAGTATATTGTAATAGTCAAGTCTACAGGTTACAAAGATATGGATGGGCATTTCGGATGGAGATTTTGAGTTATCCATTCTGTATGTTGGACAATTTTGAAACGGTCAAATGTTTCACCAGAGACCTAGTCAGTTACTTCCAAATATCCAAGTCATTTTTGAAGGACATCTAGATGATTGTACAATTGCTGCATGTGATTTGCTTGCATATTTCTCTCTCCCCCACCACCATCCTTTGCTGTTTTTATCCTCAGTTCTCTGAGGTAAGAAGCTAGTACAATTTTCCCCATTGCAAGTAACTGAAACCAGACAACACAGAGAAAGGTGTAAACAGTTCATTTAAAAACTTCAGCATTTTAAAAAATTTAAGCATATTAAAATTTCATCAGCACAGATCCAATACTCTGGAAAATACTTCTAAATCGGAATACTTACAATGTCCTCCGCCCATTCCACCGTAGTGATTTGACACAGCAATCAAATTATATTCACAACGACCAGCATTTGGATTTATAAGAAATTCTGACATATCTAAATCACTAACGAAAGACACATTACATTAACATTTTGTGGTACACAATTTCAAAAATATACTCTATTGCAGACGTTAGCACTAAATTTCAGATAGAATAGTTGCTCACAATATTTACACCTTATTCCTTTTGCTCTCGTGTGTTTCTAGTTCTTATTACCTGTCCATTTTTAACTATTCCCTGCTGAAGCATACATCTTTAATGTCCAAGATTGAATGCAATCTAAATAACTGTGTAAATAATAAAATTGCACTTAATCTGTGGTTAGTTAGTAGCATAAATCATAGGAGAAATAGGCCATTTGGTCCATCAAGTCTAGTCTGCCATTCAATAATAAATTGGCTGATCTGATAATCCTCAACTATACTTCTCTGCCTTTTCCCCATGCCCCTTCATTCCCTTACTGGTCAAGTGAAGTTAATATTTGTAAACAGAGTGATTATTGGAGGGAAATAACTAATTCTATTCCACTAAATTTTTCTACTGAGGTGTTTTCATTTTTGAATTCATGTCACCATATCAATCTGAATTCCTTCTCTGATACTGTGCTCTCTTTAACTGCCCTTCCCTGACCAACATGGTCCTGATTTTAACTAGGGGAACATCTGCTTCCCAGTCATGTCTCCTGTCCATGGTGGCAGCATTGCTGCATTTTCTGTCCTCTATCAGCGTTCCCCAGCGAGATGTGAAAACCAAACAAGTTAATGATTAACGTCATAAGCAGAGGCCCATTATATTGAGAGAAAGGGAGTAGATGCCTTAACCCTAGATAGCACAGGGGCAGAATGTTTAAAAATGTAACTGCAACAGTTATGAACTACAGCCCTAATATTGCATAAAAATAACAGCAGAGGAACAGGCTCCTCATTGTGCCAATGCTTATGTTCCACAAAAGCCACCTTTCACTCTTTTTCACTTTACACTTTGCTCTCATGTGTTTCTAGCTTCCCCTTTTCATCATGCATGTATTCATCAACGCAATTTGTCTCGCTCTTTGGGGTATAGTGTTCCACAGTCTAACTGCTCCATTAGATAAAGAAGTTTGTATTGAATTCTTTATATGATTAGTGACAATTTCTTATTTATGTCCTTTGGTTGTAAAAAGTTCAATACAATCTTTTAACTTTACAAAAACTTTTTTTCTGTGGCCTATATTCCATGCTTTCATGATTCTCAAAATCCTAAATTGAGAAAAGACAAACATTTCTTATTTCAAGTCTCCTGCATTAGGGGAAACGTCTTTACTAAATCTATCCGAATAAAAGGGGCAGTCTGTTTTACACAGCACAATATCTACTTTTCCATTGGATTTCACAGAACTAGAGTCAATCTCTTTTCAGACAATAATTAGGAGAGCTGTAACCAGATTTAACTCACTGAGACCTACCTAATAGGAAAATCAACCAGCGTGTCCAGCTTGTCTCGCCAATAACGACTATAAGAAAATCGCTTTAAATGCACCACCAACACAGGTGGCAATGACCACAGATCTAGTTTTTTGGTGGCTTGCTGATGCTGCTTGCAGTTTGGACAGTACCTGAATAAAAACATAATTGGGACAAAGTATCATTCTTCCAATTCCTTTGAATTTTTCAAATAGCAATTTTCAAGAAAAAAGCCTTTTCTCTGATCATCAAGTATACTTAAGACCTAAGTCAGGACATTACTCAATCTCTAAAGCATTCTGAATATTGGGCTATGCTTGCAGTAAAATCTTCAATACCACAGAATTATAGATTTTAAACATAAATATTTAATTAAAGAAAAATCTTCACCTCCGCCACAAACAAGTCAACTCTGATATTAAGTTGAAGAAAACTATACTGTTGGAAACACGTTACACCCACATGTAAGTAGTGCACTGCAAAGGTACCTCTAATCTTTACAACCAGCTCAAGACAACTCCAGGAGCAACAATAGCAGTTTGAAGATTTATGATCATTAACCTTGAAAGCTTCATTCTGACTTGCTTCTGCAGCAGTTCTAATTAACACAGCTTTTCACAGCTCCCAACAATTAGATTGTACCAAGATCGCACAGTCTTTATCACTTGAATTTGGGCACAATTAGCCTTATCTGTAGGTTTCCAAACTTTTTTTTATTAGCAATGGTCAAATTCATTATTTGACTGAATAAATCCAGAGCTACATTGATTTTAGCAAGATTTTAGACAGAATTTACATTCTGGTTTAGAATTTGTAAATTCTACCCAAAATGACTTAGAATTACTTACCACGGGTCCTCTGCACCTAGCTTCTCTTTAGTTGTAAAAAGTTCAATACAATCTTTTAACTTTACAAAAACTTTTTTCTGTGGCCTATATTCCATGCTTTCATGCTTCTCAAAATCCTAAATTGAGAAAAGACAAACATTTCTTATTTCAAGGTGAAAAACTATGGCAGAAAATGCTTAATCCATGACAGTACAAAAATGTTCACACAATGCTTATGTTCCCAATACATTAATTGTTCATTGGAAAAATATCAGCAAACCAGCTCTGAAAAGTACCAGTAGTTTCCCATGACATACTTCATAGTGAAACAGACTATATGCAAATTTTAAATATAAAGGACAGATTGTTTCATCATGCTCTGCACCATATTTTATTCCCCTGACAACTATTATATAGGTAGGACAGCTTTCTTTTTGACTTTACCTCTAGAAAGATGAATTTGTATTGGTGACAAAATGTAGGTTTTAGTGGCATGTAGCTTGTGCAGTCTTTTCTAGTCATTATCTTGGTGTTTGGTTTTGATAGAGAAGTACACTGTGGTTTGATGCACACGAAAGGCTAACTACACCTAAATAAGGAAGATCCTTTATGAAAAAATTCATAAACAGCATTCAAAAGGTATCATCTACCTCTTGTCATGCCATTTTTTTAAAAAACTAGGTTAAAACAATTTGGTCTGTTGTAACCGCCTTTTCTCTTACATGCTTGGTACATATTTTACCTCTGCTGCATTGTCATCAAAGCATCTCTTCTTAATTTCAGGATCCCAGTCTAATGCTAGATATGTTCGTTCTGCAAATGATAAACAAACAGAGTGTGCTTTCAAAATCAGTTCTTAAACAAATCACTTGCGATACATCAAAGGTATTTCTTAAATCAAATCAGCTGACCTGGTCTGATATATCAGGCATAATTCACAAGAGCTCGATGGCTTACTTGGTTAAGGCAGTGTGTAAATGAGTGCAACTGAAGTTCTCAGTTTTGATTCTTAGTCTGCCTGATGAACTTATCTTGACTTGGTTGATTGTAAGTACAATTCTTTATCAATAGTTAAATGTATAGATTTCACCTAATCTGTTACTGCCCAAGGTCAATCTAATAACACAGATGTACTGTTTACCTTAAAGCAAGGTACCACGTCATGCCACCTTACAAGTAATAATCATTTAAATTTTAGACCGTCACCATTTATTTAACCTTGCAACTCTTCGATACTCAAATGTTGGCTGATTGGTTAATTACAACAAATCAATTGCCTCAAATTAGGTTCAAACATCAGCCAAAATCAGAATATAGCATGTATTTTATCAAACGCCTGCCTGACATGTATGATGCACAATTATACCTGACTAAAACAGGCCTATTGGTATTACGTGGAGGAGGGGATGGCCGAGTGGTATTATTGCTAGACTGTTTATCGAGACACCTAGATAACGTTCTGGGGACCTGGGTTCAAATCCCACCATGGCAGATGGTGGAATTTGAATTCCATAAATATCTGGAATTAAGAATTTAATGACGACTGTGAATCTATTGTCTATTGTTGGGAAAAACCCATCTGGTTCACTAATGTCCTTTAGGGAAGGAAACTGCCATCCGTACTTGGTCTGGCCTACATGTGACTCTAGACTCACGTAGCAATGTGGTTGACTCATAACTGCCCGCTGGCCAATTAGCAATGGGTAATAAATGCTGACTAGCCAGCAATGCCCTCATCCCACAAATAAATTTTAAAAAAATCAACATGGGGACTCAAACTTCAGTTTGGGATAAGAAGCTTCTTAAAGAGCTTTGATTGAAAATATATCAATAATGTTTAAGGCTTAGTTTAATTTGCTAAAAAAAATTCTTGATTTTGAATTAATGGTTTATCCCAGAAAAGCTCAAACAATTAAAACCTGAAACTGCCTGTTGCTAGGCAAAGCAGGAAAAGAAACATCTTCTATGCTACAATTCAATTGTGCCACAATTTATGAAAGCAAGTGGTCCTTCACTTAAAACCAACTTGGTTACAAAATAATTAATGGCCTTTTTGGTGCCGTTATGATCACAACAGTGAACATTGTTAAAGGAGCTACACCCTTTTCACTCTGGTCCAATTCACCTCATGTTAGGTTGGGATTGATAATCAAAGAGTGAGTCACGTCTGATTTCTAATGACCTCAGGAAAGTTCACCATGGAATCCAATGACTTGGAATTGAAACACCAGGATTTCACTTCTGATTGCTGTCCAGTGAGTTCTGCTAGCAAGTGGCCGGGATGCCACAGCCACTACTACAAGACGAAACAAAAAATAGCCATCAAGGCCAGGGATCGGAGGACTATGGACTCAGTTGGAACAGAATCACAGAAAAATACCTACTAGTACAGTAACAGAAATAATTCTGTTCAATCATACTTCCCACTGTCCTTCTAAAACTTATTGCACTACAATTCCCGCTGCGGTTGCTGCGGCCAAGGGTGGTGGAAGTAAAATAGTTTGCTTCAGAAGTTTCTCATAGTTGTAGTCAATGCTGCTACAGAGCAATTTAGAACCAGGCAATGACAGGGTGCACTGCTTTTTAACTTCGTAACTCATTGATAGCTGACACCCCCAAAGCAAGGTGGTTCCTGTGTAAAAACCAGGTGAACAGAGGAATTTACGGCTGTGCGCAAGTTTGATGCAAACTAGCTGATTGGCAGCAACATGCAATTAAGCTGCTCGGTCTCATACTTGTTACAGTTTATTGAAGAAGAAGGATTTCAACTATAATATATACCGTCAAGCCTGATTTGTCTGCTGTCTTCAAATCGGATTTGCCTGTCGTCCTTGACATAATTGATATCTGTATTTCCTAAATTATTGAACTGGAATGTAAAGAGCTGTTTTTTATGTCCCTGGAACAGCTGGGCTTTACAAGGGTCTTCAGTGCAGATGCCATTTTCAGAATCTTCATTATCTCCCCCAACTGAGTCCTCTGATTGGCTATTCTCATTCTCAGAAGGAAGTTCTTGATCTTGACTGGATTCATCATCTTGTTCATCTGTCTCCATTTCACCTGCTCAGAAGAATTCACAGCAAAAACTATTGGAATGATCTTCCTTTTAGAGCCTCATATCTAATCACCATTCATAGATAAGCTGCAGTGTGGCCTATTTACCATGGAGCTCTCAACTATTGATGTCAAAAAGAAAGCCCCAATTTAGAAAGGTTTGAAATTAACACAAATATTCCTAAGATCCACTTTAAAGAAAACAAAAGATTCTGAAGGTAGAATTCTCCACTAAAGAATTTAGAAACTGCAGCCAAGATGCTGATTTTTTTTTTTCAGGGGTGTTGGGCAAGAGAGAGAAACAAAGAGTCTTACAACATTCCTTACTGTTCTGATTATCTATGATTGGTATTCATTAAAGCTCCATTATTGTCTGCAAAGGGGTTTAACCAAAATGATTAATGTCCATTTTGAAGAATTACTTCACTGCACCATTTTTTAAAAACAGGGCAGGTAAGTATAGTTCAATATCCACAGAGACAAATTGGCAAAGTTATCAAATCAAATTAGCAAAATCATGATCAAATGAATAACTTGCTCTACAAATACTTTCCCTCTAGAAAGAAAGAAATAACAGAGGGGAATCCATTTGATAGAAAGTACAAAGGACATGTGTAAACATGCATGTAAACCGTCTGTGTGGAGTATGCCCATGTCTGCACGAGTTTCCTCTGGGTGCTCCAGTTTCCTCCCACAGTCCAAAGATACGCAGGCTAGGTGGGCTGGCCGTGCTAAATTTCCCGTAGTGTTCAGGGATGTGTAGATTAGGTGCGTTGTAGGGGGATGGGTCTGGGTGGGATGCTCTGACAGTCAGTGTATACTTGTTGGGCCAAAGGGCCTGTTTCTACACTGTAAGGATTCTATGATCTTCTAAATATGCTTCTAGCTTATGAAGGCTGATTAGAAATACATAGTTCATTAGGTCATTTTGGTCTTTTTAAAACATTTAGCTTCCATGCATTTGCTGTTGAAATATAATAATTAAAATTGCCTTTTAGAACACAATCAAAATACAAAGTGAAAAAGACAGGCACTGACGCTATCTTGACATAAGACAGTAGGACCATAAGACATAGGAGTAGCAGGCAGCCATTTGGCCCATCAGGTCTGCTCCATTATTCAATGAAATTATGGTTGATCTGATTATCCTCACTTTCACCTTCCGTAAGAAATGGTAATCAACAATTTTCCGCTTATTTTTCCTTCATTTGTTGCATTTAAATCGTACTAAATGGCAACACGTTACTTGGTATGATCATGAACTGCCTCAGTATTTCATGAAAACATAAGCCATTACTCTTACAGGTGATGTCTAAATAATCTGACAGAACTCTCCATACAATTTTAAAAAATTAGACCAAGACTACATTCAGTGTTTGATGGGTCACTTACAAAATGGTTTTAAGCCACTGATGTTGTACAGTAGTGTTTATTACAATGTATACATTTTCCCATTCCAGTGTGCTGCTTTCTAAATGAATCAAGAATTTGATTGAAATATGCCTCTAAATTTTACTGATGTGGCAATTTATCCTTATGATGGGGTACAATAACATAAATGGAGAATACCTATTTGCACTGTTTGTGAAGTCCTAATGAGGGATTAGAAAATTAAAACCAAAAGAATGGAGAAGTTAATTTTTCTAAAAATAATAGAATGCTCTACAACCACACAATACATACCAGCTTGCAAAAGGGAAGTGAATCAATATAAGAGACACATGTAGAAGAATGTGAGGAAAGAGATGATAATAAAGACTTCATGGGTAACTGATTTCAAATATGGACTCAAGGGTCATGTCACCTGTTTTGAATTTTGCCTAACAAGAAGCCTGGGGTGGCTTGGTTGTTGAAGGAAGATCCAGGCTATCTTGCCAGGAAGGTGGTGCACAACAGCTATACCTATAAGCAATGACCAGGGCACTTAAACCGACTACGGGCTGACTTTGTCCAATTTGTAAATGATTATATCAAAAAATGTTGGATTTAGTTCCAAGACAGAATGAAGCTGGGGACCTAGAAGATTGCTAACTGGCATTTCATCTGAATAACAGGGCCCTTATCCATGTCAGAATCCATAAGGAGTCATTGAGGAATCAGGATGCACATGTTCCTAAAATCACAATCTCTCACATAGGCAACCCGCAACAATCCAATACAGCAGTGAGGTAGACCTGTAATGTTCGCCCCAAAAAACATGGGCAGAAGATCATGCACAGATTGAAGACCGTGTTGAAGACACGGAGTTTGCCAGGCTTTAAATGAACATTGAAAGTTCTCCTTGCTTTGCCTAAAGGGAGTGATATCAAATTTGTTCCTCACTGTGAAACCCAGTTCAGGCAGTAGAACCAATTCAGCTGGAACAGGAAAAGGGAGAGAATAGATTTGGACTGATCAAGATGGATAATAAATTGTCCACTTCGGGGTAGGGTAAATTATTATTGCGCAGGGGAAGTCTCAGTCATTCTAAGAATTAAATGGGGATCTTTCCTGCAAATTAAGAATATAAGTTGCATAATGAAATAGAATTCAGTTAATACTGCTTTCAGTTTGTTTATTGCAGTAATAAATCCGAGAAATTGAATTCTTGCCATGAGATCATTTCAATCAAAGTTTGGATTTAAAAGAAACCTCTGTCTCTGCAGGGATCATAGCAAGCTCTCTCAGGGAACTGACATGAGTCAAACTTCCTGATTTAATGATTTAGAATTAAGGGAGAGGGCTTAGACTGGCAATGAAATATTCCAGCAGAACACCTCCATTCACTAAACAAACATTTGTTTCCACACAGATAGGCATGTCTTAATGTAAAGAAAATCCTTTTAGAAAACTTGGAAATAAATAAAAATGTCATGGCCCTGTTTTCAAGCCCCATAGAGAAAAAATTAAAGTTCACCGAGTGACATAAAACAAGATTCATTCAACTTACCTACAATTCTGAGTATGATAAAGTTGCCTTTTTAAAAACATGTTAGTAAATGCCAATAATTTAATTCTAAATCTTATTTATTTCACTTGCCTGTGGATTTAATCAGCCTAAATAATCAGTCAGGATTACACCATTTGACAGCCTGAATGGTACATGGACAGAAACAGAAAAGTATGAAGCATGGGTAAAAATTGTCTTTTGATGTAACATTTATTGGAACATTGGGTTCTGCAAACTTTGGCATCTAATATAAGATTATATATTAAAATGATACCAGGGTTCTAAAGTCTTCTTTGCTTAGAAGAAAGATGTGGTACAAATTGTGACTATTCCAACATACTCCTAGCTAACCTTTCATCTTCCAACCTCAATGTCAAAATCAGCCAAACACTGCTGCCCATTTCTTAAGTTGTACAAACTTCAATTCACATTTCACATCGATGCTTTCTGATCTGTATTATCTCCTGGTGATGCAATACTTTGATAGCAAAACTCTTCACCTTGGTTTCCAAATCCCTCCATGGCCTCATAAAAACAGAGAAAATAGCAGCAAGAGTAGGCCATTTGGTCATTTGAGCTGGTCTGCCATTACGATCATGGCTGATCATCGAATTCAGTACCCTGTTCCCGCTATCTCCCTATAACCTTTGATCCCTTTAGTCTAGGACCTATATCTAATTCCTTCTTGAAAACATTCAATGTTTTGGCCTCAACAGCTTTCTGTGGCAAAGAATCCCACAGGCTCACCACTCTGGGTGAAGACATTTCTCCTCATCTGTCCTAAATGGCCTACCCTATATCCTTAGAATGTGACATCATAATAGAACATAGAACATTACAGCGCAGTACAGGCCCTTCGGCCCTCGATGTTGCGCCGACCTGTGAAACCAATCTGAAGCCCATCTAACCTAAACTATTCCACCATCATCCATAATATAAAACAAAGGACTGTGGATGTTGGAAGATTTGAAACAAAAACAGATCTCTAATACGTTCCAACCTCCCAACTCTCCAAGATTTTGTTCTTCCAACTCTAGCCTCATGTGCATCCTTGGTTTTCAATGGTTCACTCGTGGAGGGCACGCCTTCAGCAGTCAAGATCCTAACACTCGAACTCCTCTCCCAAAAAGTCTGCAATTCCACCTCTTTCCTCCTGTAAATTACCTTAAAACCAACCCCTTGGTCAGCTGCCCTGATAATACCATGAAAAGCTTCACGCTGTTTCACTCTAAACGAGGTGCTAAAAAAATGCAAACTATTTTTATTTGAGCACAGATTGATTTCTTGCAAGTACTATGACTAAATATTGGCATTACCAAG